ATCTATTTTATATACAGTAGTGTGTATCTGCTAATCCTAAACTCCTAATTTATCCCTTCCCACTTCCCCTTTGGTAACCATAAGTTTGTTTTCTATGCCTGTGAGTCTCTTTCCATTTTTAAATAAGTTCATTTGTATCATTTTTTAAGATTCCACATGTATGTGATATCATATGAAATTTGTCTTGCTCTGTCTGACTTATCTCACTTAGTATGATAATCTCTAGTTTCATCCATGTTGCTGCAAATGGCATTATTTCACTCGTTTTATGGCTGAGTAGTATTCCATTGTATATATACATCACATATTCTTTGTCCAGTCATCTGTTGATGATCACTTAGGTTGTTTCCATGTCTTGGCTATTGTAAATAGTGCTGCTATGAACATTGGGGTGCAGGTGTCTTTTTGAATTAAGGTTCCCTCTGGATATATGCCCAGGAGTGGGATTGCGGATCAAATGGTAAGTCTATTTTCAGTTTTTTGAGGAACCTCCGTACTGTTTTCCATTGTGGCTGCACCAAATTATATTCCCACCAGCAGCATAGGAGGGTTCCCTTTTCTCCACACCCTCTCCAGCATTTACTGTTTGTGGAATTTTTAATGATAACCATTCTGGTAAAATTAAATATTTTCAGATATATAGTTCTCTGGATTTTGACAAACTTAGACAGTTGTGTAACCACCATCACAATCAGAATTCCCTCACATCCAGATGTTCTCCTGTGCCCCTTTACAACCAGTCCTCTCCCTTCACTCTCAGCCCCTGAGAACCACCAATCTGATTTCCGTCCCTATCGTTTTTGCCTTTCGTAGAAAGTCATAGAAATGGAACCATACAGGAAATAGTCATTTGTATCTGGCTTCCTTCACTTAGTGTAATGCTTCAAGAACTCATCTAGGTCGTTGCGTGTGTCAGGACTTCATTCTTCTTGTTGCTGAATAGTGTTGCACTTATGGATTTGCCAGAACTTGTTTATCTAGGCACCACTGAGGGACCTTTGTGTTTTTTTCTAGCTTTTGAGGATGAATAAAGCTGTTACAGTATGCTTATAACTTTTGGAGTGGATATCTTCATTTCTTTCGGCTAAATACCTAGGAGTGGGGTTCCTGGGTTATAGGATAAATGCACATTTAACTTTATAAGAGGCTTCCAAACTGTTTTCCAAAGCGGCTGTACCAGTCCCACCTGCAGTGTATCATAGTTGCCGCTGCTCTGCATCTTTGTCAGCAATAGATGTTGTCAATTTCCTTGATTTGAGCCGTTTTCGTAATAATTCATGGACTTCTGATCTAGGCTGAGCTGTGGAATTAAACATCTTGCCAGCTACTGGATTGGATAGTGTTCCCCCCAAATTCACATTCCCCTGGAACCTCAGAATATTATCTTATTTGGAACTAGGATCTTTGCAGCTGGAACTAATTAAATTTAGACGAGGTCTTACTGGGTTAAAGTAGGCCTTCATTCCAATGACTGGTGTCCTCACAGGAAGGCCACGTGAAGACATGAGACATGCAGAGGCGAACACCACGTGATGATGGAGAAAGTGACTGGAGTTATGCTGCAACTGGCCCAGGAACCCCAGAACCACCCGAAACTGAAAGAGACAAGGTGAGATTCTTCCTTAGAGCCTGGGGGTGGGGGGAGGGTGGCCCTGCCAACGTCTTGATTTCAGACTTCAAGCCTCCAGAACTGTGAGAGAACACATTTCTGCCGTCCTCAGACACCCAGTTTGTAGTAGTCTGTTATGGCAGCCACAGGAAAATAACACACTATGAATACAATATGCAAAATACAGTAATGCGAAGTGGTTTAGGAGGTTAGATTTGACTCACTTAAAGCTTCCTGAGGATAAAAGCATAATAATCGTTTGCGTGAAAATATAGTTCTAATTAGGGCAGATACATCATTAGCAGCCTAAATTATTAATAGGCATAAAAATACTTGGACTAAGTCTTTGAATACAATTCAACTTTTCACTCATTGGGCTGGACTTCTGCCAATGAGTCCGAATTAGTGAAGACGTACTGTTTATCGAGAAGTAAGCTCAGTCCAGACCCAGAGTCCTAATCTGTGGCCATTCAATATGTGAGACTCATATTTTGCAGAATGTTCTATAAAGGATTAAGAGATAGACTTTGTTTTAGTCTGGTCATTGTGATAGAATACACTACAACCTTAAAGATTATTAAAATTGTGAAATAATTTGCTCCTTTTCCCTGCCACAGGGTATAGACTAGTTCTGAAAACAAAACTTCTATAGCAGAGCCAGTCTTGGCTATTTCATAAGGAACAGATCCTATTTCAGTTTTAGCACAAACCTCTTCCAGCTCCCGAGGAAGACAACAATTCAGCTCTCAAACTCCTATCAGACTTCTTTCAGGCAGAGGGACCCCCATCTCCACCCCAAACACCCATGAAAGAAGTTGATTCTTCTGTTACACCATTAGTCAGAAAAATATTACCTGTGTGATGATGATTACATAAATTAATGCAATAATAGAAAACTAAGGAATAGCTATAGACAACAGGTTGTGGCTTATATGACCATAATTTGCTGAGTAGTTACTACAGTTGGACAGAAATCAAGGCCACAGGCAGGGCAGAAGGGCCAGTATAGATGTGGTGTCAGGAATTCCATGTTTTCACAATCATTCCTCTATCTCTACTCATTAAGCCAGACTTTTTCCACATTAGCAACATGAGTTAAATAGCAAGCCTACCATGCTTGGATGTCATGTTCTGGAGGTCTGGGAGGTGTCTTTGGCACTCCCTGAGCCCTCCGTGAGTCATTTTCCGCACTGTGCACTGTGGTTAACAGCCGCGCAGTGCCAATTTCGCAGGGGTAGCTCGTGAATTTGGTCGTGTCTTCCATCAAGAGTTTACAGAGAGCTGTGCCATCTGAACGGAGTCCAGCAATGTTCAGTGATCCATGGAAAAGACAGGCCTGTTTCCCTACTTCTGCTCTCTAATGAGCATATGCTGTTCTTTGAGCGTTTGGGGGAAACACAGTGTTGGCCTATTTTGGGGGGACAAAGGCTGACAATATTGGACCACCCCATTCCAAGTTGGGGCAATTTCAAAGGATAGGGCTTTGGGAACTTGGAACAACATGTACAGCTTCACTGTCATGAAGTCTGGCTAAACACAGAAACCAGCCTCCCTCTTAATCTCCGTCCCACTTGTGGAAAACCATAAACTCAAGTTATTACAAATCAAAGGCCAGGGGAGAATGACCAGATGTCCTTGGGGATGGTAACACAATTAGGAGGGAGCCATTGGGGTAGGGACTGTCCCTCTACAAGAAGTTGAGAGAAAGAAAACACAATGACCCAAATGTTTGCCTCATTTAATTCAACAGCAGCAGGAATGTCTGTTCATTACACCCGATAGGGAACGTGAGCTTCGGGAAGGAGCCAAAGCTACTGGTTTTGCTCTCCATTTTAACGGCTAATTAGATGTTGAAACTCAAGTGTGACAACCAAACAGATATTATTGCCCATTGCAGGGTAGTCAGAATTAGGCCTGGGAATTGTGTGGATGGATGGATTCTTTCAGGGGAGCTCAAAGTCACTGCTACAATTTGTGATAAATATAGTTGGTATCAAATTGGCAAACTCCGCACAAGCCGGCACTTCCTATGGCCTAAAAATACCATCAATTACCAAAAAACTGCCCCAAAACTTGAAAAATTAATCCACTGGAGGAAGGGAACAGAAGAAACAGGGCCAAATAAGACTTTCCAAAAGAGAAATCAGATCTGAAGTTCATAGCTTTATTGCATGTTTGGAAACAAGGCTGGCTGCAGAGCCTGGCTCCTGGATGCAATCATTAGAATAGCCGTTCAGCCTCTTGCCCTGTGCAAATTAACCTGATTCTGAGCCTGGCTTGTTTAATATGTGCATTCTCAGGTGCCACACTATTGCAGATCCCTCAAAGACCCTGATATTGCAAACACCTGGACAATTAACACTGGGGCTGCAGAGCCGACTAAATTAAATCCTTTTAAATTAGATTTTGCATCGTCCCGTGAACATGCTAGGATGTTTCAGGTGTTCCTTGGAGCCAAATCCAGGGTATGGTGCTACCTATTTGTGATTAAAAAATAAAACCTGAGAGATCAGATAAGAGAATAAAAGAAGCTTTTAACAAAAACACCTGGGTGCTGAAGCTCACTAACCACTGGGGCAGCGCGCTGTGATCTCTCTGCATCAGTCACTACAGCACAACTGTCCGTCAAAGTTACGGCACAGTGCACAGGTTGGTGACTTGGCAGACTGGACCTCAGCGAGCACCCGGCGTCTTCGCCTCGACGCCCCTCGGGCCTCCAGGCCGGGTCCGCCCCGCCCTTTGCTCCCAAGGCTTCCGCCTCATCCCGCCTCGGAACTCGGCAGCGCCCGCCCCGCTCCCGCTGATTGACAGGCGGGGCAGCGACTCCCGGGAGCCCGGCTTTCGCTCTGCAACCCCGGCGGTAACTATCCCACCGTAGCCAATGGGAGCCAAGAGGCGGGGCCTGCTGGGGGGAGGCGGTGCTGGTCAGGTGCTCTCCGTCGAGGCGGCGTGCAGGTGACCGGCCGCGGCTTACGGGGGTGCCTCTTGTTCCCACCGCCTCCCAGCTATTGCCCCCAGTCTACGGCAGGGAGACCCTCCGGACCCTTCCTCCCATTGCCCCAAGCCGATGCGGTTGGAGCGGATGAAGGTAGGAGTCCGGGGCACTGGGCCGCTAGCCTCTCGAGGACCCACATGCCCCCGGTGGGCCCCCAAACTACCTCCCCAAACCCAGTTTCCACTGCAAACATACACAGCGCCCTTAGGGCCTCTGCCGGCCTCGATAGGCGGGAGTTCAGCGAATTGGGAACGTACCCTGCGCCGAGACCCTCCCCAGAGCTAGGATAGTATCCCGGTGGGGAAGATGGGGCGATGCATCACCCTCCTCTGGACGTCTCATCCCTCTACACACACCTACGCGTCCTTCACTTTCCCTCGGCACGTTTCTCGGTGCCCCTTCCCTCCAGATTAACAGGGCTGTATGTGGGGGAGGGGAGGAGGAACTGGAAAGCAGCCCAGTGAAATCCGGACCCAGAACTGGGGATTCCACTGCACCGTGCAGCGTTTTGTGCACGGAAAAGAAAGAAAACAGATTTCTTTCACCCCCAGCTCTCTGCTTATTGCTTTATGTCATCGATGTGATAATGTTGATTCTTATCAAACATTCCTAACCTTGAGGCAACACTTCGGCTTCGTTTATCTTCCTTCGTCCCGGGAAAGCTGTCTTTCCTGCTTACTACAGCTGGTGAATTAATTTACTAAAGGAGAGGAGAATCAGGTGTTTCTTGTAATTGATCCTTTTTTTTAGCCTTAAATCATATTTGGTTCAAAGTATCCTTGCTTGTGTTAGGAAGGTGAAGAAGAGAGAAAGAGGGAGGCAGGAATCACTATCCTCAGCCAGAAATGTTAATAAATATATTTGCAGTCTCTTAATTGGAACTGATTTTTAATGTTTCTTCCAGAATTGGAAACTTTACTGCTATTTGAGAAATAATTTTTAATTTTTGAACCATTGCCTGGAGACCAATACTTAAAACAATTTCAGTTCAAGTAATGTTCTAGGGATGGTGAAATCGTGGTTAAAAAGCAAATAAAACAGAATTATTGCACCTGAAAGCAAAGCATGCCAAGCAGTTTTTATTTACCAGCACCTATGATATACTGAGGCTCTTAAGACAGGGCCCATTTCTTGAGGTTTTAAAATGTCTTCAGCATATTCAAATTGTTCAAATTAGGAAGATGTCGAAAGCCAAATTCAAGAAATTCTTGGCACAAAACCTTAGATCCAGGTTTTGGTGGGCTTATAAATACCTTCATACAAGAACAGTCAGCAGAAGGAGAGGACAAAAGATTCTTGTTTGTTTGCAAACTCTGTGGGAACTGACAAAATTTACATCTGGATTGTTTATCCATATTGCCTCTTAATAGCTTTCTTGAATAGAATAAGTTTCTTAGAAAGAGAGGCAAATGGACAACAACCTTGATCCAAAGAGATTCTTTAATCCCAGGAAGTCCCTTTCCTACACATATCGCTGATAAGATTAAATGTTGATGAATTTTAACATTAGGAAGGTCAAGGCTAAATTTCAGAATTACGTTTCCGTTATACTTAGTTCAGAAGCTAATTGTTTAGTTTAAAGAAGGCTGGGCTTTGATTGTTAGTAAATGAATGTAGGTTACATTTCAGGAATATATTTGAATGTCACAAATTTTATGTGACTTCGGGAAACCAAGTTCATCTATTTTCTCTTGTGACATATCTCACCAAGATGACCCAAACATAAGGCCTTGGCTTTGAAAAATGGAGGTGTACATACATACTTTTTAAAAGCATTGTTTTTGGATTTGCTAGTGGTAATTCTTTGTTGATAGGTTCCTATAGTCCATCTAACCAAAATAATAAATATGTCCATAGGTATTTAATGTGATATAAAAGTTTCTGACCAGGAGTCAGAAGTCTGAGTCATCCCGAAAATGTCTGAAAAGTTGTATGTAAATTATATCATATTTTAAAGTGATATTTGAGGAGCTGACTTAATTTCTTTGAGGAATGTTTTGATAAATTCTTAGAAACGAAAACAGTTTTTAAATGCAACTAAACTTCTTAGCTTTATTATACAGGGAGC